AGCTACATTTCTGTTCAAATAATCAATAGCGTAACCAACAAAACGTTAAGTACCGCTGTTTAAGTAACACTTTAGTATGAGCTATTTAACCATACGATAAAACTCTCTGTCATGTTATCTGAACCTCAGTGATAAATAAATCCTTTTGACTAAGTAACAAACTTAAGTGGATAAATAACACGGTGTACTTTGTTAAATGTTTCATCAGAAGTAGTTATGAACCGAAGTTTCGTGCAAGTTGGAACCTGTCAGATTGTTGAATGATATAATCTAATAGATAATAATGATCGAATAACATTATCTTGAACACTGATGAGTGATCAGTTATCCTCGCAGAGGATCAGGTGTGACAAGACAAATAATAAAATGTTACCTGATGTTATCGATTGCTAACTGTCAACAACAGACTTTGAAAATATTTTTTCTTTGTAACTCAAAGTTGTCTTTATCTGAGTGAGTTGATGAATCAGATGAATTTTAAACCTCGTTCAAAATTCCAATACATAATATTCATAGAACTTTAAATGTTTTCACATACTTATATTTTAGTAGTATTAGATTACATTACTAAAATATTTATAATAAACGGGTATATAACTAACTAGATAATGATGATTAAATACATGTTCATAACATATCAGCTCACCTAGATAGTCTAATCGGTACATCATGATCTCCAGTGGTTTTATTGTTAACAATAAGTCTTGATGGAAATCCACCTGAAAGGAATTAACTCATTTGTTATCTTAGCCATTTACATGCTCTGTCACAAATTCAATAACTCAATTGGTTAAATTTGTAAATGTTGATCAATAAAATAAATGAAGAGCTCACAGGTGGTTGTAATATTTTCAGAACTTTTAAACCTGAAATAGACAATCTGATGATGAAGCGCCACTGATTTTCAAATTCTCTACTGTTTAATCTCTCCTAACTGTTTAGATTAGGTAATGTTTCAATAATGGACTGTCACTCGGATGTATTGACTTTTCCATTGGTGCCAGTATGTTAAAGGATAACCATTATTAATGAAATTATATGCATTTAAAAAGTTTCTCCGTACAATACTCCCCCTTTAGTATAATAAACGAAAAAACTTTGAACCGAATACCATATCTTTCACAGTTAAACACGTCTTGGTCTTTAGTGTTGCAAACAATGTGAAGTATCTTCATTTGACTTTTGTTTAAATCTTATAATGAACACTTAGAAATAGCATTTAATTAATAAATAACTAGCACAAAAATCTAATATCACCTTATTTTTAAGTCACATCCTTTATTTACTTACTTCTGATACTTCTCATAAAGCATAATTCGCTGACCTGCATTCTCCAACCTACTTTTACCTGGGATTGCCTTTCTAGTTGTTCCAAATAGCTATTCATTCTTTTGAAATCTGCTTGTGATTTTCAACAAAATGTGTTTAATGGTCTCCTTTTCTCCTTTAGCCTTGAGGATTACAAGTTAGGGTTTAACTTGTGGGTCATTTAGGTACTTTCCGGAATGTGTGTCTAATCCAGCGCATTCTCCTAATTTCCTCCTCAGCTGGAATCTGGTTCAGGCTACTTGCTATTTAGAATATTCTAACCATTATATCATGCTTTCCCTAACGCTACAGTTCAAAACGTGTTAACCAGTATCATTGATTAAGTAGTCTGATATTTAGAAATTAGTTGTGGGGCTTATTAGTTACTTCTGCGAAAGTTAATGATTATAAATTTAAGATATATTCAAATGAAAATCATCACTATTTAAAACTGTCTGATTCGCTTAACCGTACAAATAGAAACTACGTAATTGACCAAGTAACGTGGTTTGATTTTATACCTCAGAATAATTGACATTGAAAAACCAATTCAGAGTAGACAACCTCTGTTTCATACTTGAAGATTATAATAAATTATCAAGAATTCCAAGGTAGATAGAATATTTTTTATATTTTTCCTACATTCTTTTCTCAAGATTCTATTTAGAGGATGGTGTTAAGTATACTTTTACTAGCAGCAAACAAAACTTTCTTTTATAAATTTGAGTTATTGATTTAAGAAGTTACTGAAATAGCTAGTGTCACTGACTGAGATAACAATAAAGAATTAGTAAGAAACAATATTCAAAAGAACCATGATAACCGTGATGCTTGTTCTTTATGCTGTCATCCTTGCGAATAACATTGTTTCATACTCGTTTTTTTTCCCATAAACCGATAATTCTCATATGTCCAAAAGAACCGCCAAATATTCTATGATTATACTTTTGAACAAAAGAAAAAGCACATGAATGCATAAAAAAGAAATTAATTATTCGCTTAATCTGTAAACATTCCTTTAATCTCTTAATGAGTTAAGTAATTTTATTTGTATCCTATCCCGTTGTGAAATAGTTTTTTATACATAGGAATGAAACAAACAAATGTTGTTTTCGTCAGGTGATCGTGTATATTTTACAATGACTTTTAAGTGAAACCATGTAACATGACGATAAATTACAGTATGGTATGGAGTCAAACTATTTGTTTTATAATGATAATGATACTAATTATTATTAGTACAGTAACAGTAGTAGTTTTAGTAATAATGACTATGTTCATAGCTTACATTTAAAAACGCTCATTGAATTTACAGTATTTTACACAAAAAAAGAACTATGTATTTAAAATTATTCGTTGTAATCACTGGGAATAAACGTATACAGGAATTTTAAAAATTTGTAACAACTGATATTATTGTGAGGAAATTTTTTTATCCCTCCTGTTTTCTACCATAAATTAAGTGCAAAAATAGTTACGTTTGAGGTAAATTTTCACAAGTTTGTTTTTAAATAAAAGGACATCACAATCATTATTAGCTCTATGATAGTAAAAAATTACTATATGATAGTATTATCATGATTTAAACTTTGTCACGTCATCTTGTTAAGTTCGTCACTAGGTACGCTTGAATCTATGATGAGTTCACCTTAGTCGATAAACGCGAACCAGACAATTACCAGCGTCCAGGTAGGCTACCTTGAATCCCAAACTGTAAAACAAAAGTCTTGGTAAGCGTAGAAAGTATATTCTACAACACCCAGCAATCACAATACAATCAAGCACACAACTCTCGTTTATTTATACATCATAGAAACGTCCTTGGGACAGTTACGAAAATAGTACACTAAAATACACAGCAACCAATCACAGCCATGGGTTTTCCTGGTGGGAAATCCAAGATAAGTCATTTATCAAGCCAGTTATGGGGATCTAACATCCCCAACCCATCTTATTCAAAACGTTTTCATTTCTAACAATATTCGAATTTCCGCGGTGAGATGAATAAACATTTCACATTCACTTGTATCTGAACATTGATGAATTTGTTGTATTGTTTAAATAACATAAACAAATGTTATTTAACTACACAAGAATTCATTATAGTCCACAACCTGATGTTTCTTATCATACAGATCTGAGTAAAATGTATATGTTAACAAAATTCTTAAATAATGATGTTTAAAATATTATAATCAATGTTACAATGATTACAAGAATAATAATTAATTTTGCCTTAATTACATAAATACAAGTCAACCACTGAGAAAATGTTATATATTGAAACTTGAACAATTGATAAACGAACGTACCGTTGTAACTATTTTATTTTATTTTTTAAAAAGTTAATATTATTTATAGTTTGATATAATCAAGAGAATTGTTTGAGAAACAGACAACTTTCCTCATTGCTTAGAAATATAACAACGACAGTTTGTGTAAATACTGTTCTATTTTAGTGTGTTGATATGGTGTAACTGTATTTTCATCTAAAGATTTCCAAAGCTAAAAATGCTAACCGATAGTAAGATTAAGAAATGAAACATTTTCTCATTAATCTTCAGCCATGTGACATGTTATTACATTAACTTGTACATTAGTGAAATTTAGATTACTGTTGAATCTAAACAAATGAACGTCCATAAAATAGGTCTCTATCAATCATAGTTCGGAATAAATTTAAAGGAGATACTGATCAATTTCTAAAGAAAAATCATTCTGCATACATTTTAATTTAAATACTTCATAAAAATAAGTTCCAGTTCAGAGAATGAAAATTTTATGAATTCACTAAGCTAATCCTGTGATTGCCTTTTAGCGTTTTAATTATGGTTATCATACTATAACTGCAAATCCAAAGTTTTTCAGAGTGTTACAAGTTATTTCTCTCACAGTTATTCGCAACTGAATCGTCACAGTCTAATTGGGATGAATTTATTTTCAGAACAAGTATTGTGTTATAAATGGATATTTGTTGACAGCTACATCGTAATAGGCGATCATGGTTTACCCACTTGACGTCAGTCTAAGACGAAACCTGCCATCATCAGCATCATCATAATTGACTGAAAATAATCTTATTTGAAAATGTACACTATGGTTATTCTCATTTGCGTTTTTTCCTACCAAAAACGTTTTACGCTACTTCAGTTGTTCACTTATTAGAGGTGCATAAATTGTAATTATGTTTAGCTTGTAGCTTTTATTTTTTTACAATAAAGTATCATACTCACATGACAAACTGTACTTTTTGCAGTGTACATTGTTTTCTTTCTTGGGCAGGAAAAATGCGTAGGTCATTTAAATAAGCAATGAATTATGTGCTGTATACACATATCTTCTTGTGCATTTCTATGTCATTAACTATAATTCTGTACTGTTTAGAGTGTGTGTTTCTACACAAAATCATTTCACATTGCATGATAAAAAAACCTCAAATTTGTGTGTTTATACATCCATCTAATTTAAGTAAATATAGCTGGACGCATCAAAATACCGGCCGGTTTCTGTCGATTTTAAGCTGTTTGCTAACTATTTATTTGTTTTCCGATTAAATAAAAAAAATATTATACTTTAAATTATACATTCAGTAAATCTAGTAAAGATAAAACTACACATCATAAACAAAGATTACTATTCTCATCAAAGCTACATTTGAAGTTATGATGTGTTTCATCAAATTATTAATTCTACAAACAATTTTATTGTTTGTTGTTTCTGGTCAAAATGGCCGACAAATGTATCATGGTAATAATTATTTACGTTATCATGGGATAATTCAACCAACTCAACCAAGCCATGTACGTCGATGGATTGTTCTGCTTGGGCGTAAAGTAGTATTAAATTGTTCAGTAAATTTACCACCAGAAGTGAATCCAAGACAAGTACAATATAGATGGGAACATCCAGAAGGCAATATATTAGGTTACAGTAAATTATACGTCATACCCAATGTAACCATGAATGATGCTGGTGTCTACACATGTCATAGTTCTGCTTATGTTGGTTTCGGCGGTGAACAATGGGTTGATCAACATCGTCTTTACTTGGAAGTTCGTAAGTTTCTTGTTTCATGAGTTTTGTTGTTGGGTATTGATAATGGTTAATAGGTCAAATTTTTCGTTAAAATGTAATAATTATGATATCTTGATTATGTGGTCAGTTGTTACACGGGTTAGCTCGAAAGCATTTTTCTCATCTCATTTTGAAAATATTAAGTATTTCTTCTCAGGTAGCTTCTCGAATCTTGTTAATAAAACTTATTTCACTTCATTCAGTAAAGTTGCAGAATGATCAACTAACTTGGGATGATGTGTAATGAATAAAAACGTCAGAATTATAATAATCTTATTAGAACACAAAGTAAGACGACTAAGATGACCTAGAGAAGATGATTTTTCTTTGTATTAACTCCTACTTCATTAAATCAGTCGTTGAAAAGGCATTAACTCTGTCTTCGCATTGTTTTGTAAAGACGTATACAATGAATTGAATGCTTTGAAATCACTATCATTCTGTTTGATAAATGTGTACGTCATTAGCATGGCTATTGTCCATTTAAATAAGTCTGGAGTAAATGATATATGTTCATTTTTGAAATTTGATGTATATGTAAGTATAACTTGATGAATATTAACTGAAGGTAAACTAGAACTGCAGTCTCGAAAAATTAACTGAACATAGAATTAGAAATTTCAAGCGTTTTTTCTTTTTTAAATGATTCCGAACAGTCTAGTTACACACATACTTTTCAAGATAGTTTATATGAAAATTAATCACGATCAATTCAATTAAATTTCAAATAAACATATAATGTTTATCCTAAACAAAGGAGAGAGAAAATTTACATGGATTATGCAGAACACGAAATTGCTGCATCAACCTACACCATTAAATGATTGAACGATTATCAAAGTCAATGCAAAGTTCTGATAAATTATTCCCCTACACATTAAGGCCGTCACGATTCGCGAACAGTTCAGGTTTCTATGAACCTAAGCATTCATCCTTAACAATTTCTGTAAAACGTTTTCAAAGCTTTATTGATGTCAATTCTATGTCTGTTTCAGTTGTGTACTTTACTAACGATGAACATATCTCTCTATTGACCACGTTTATTGGATCATTTGACATTAAATTGTTTTGAAACCATCTTCCATAACACACGTTGACATTGTCCGATCACATTTCCCAACATATTTGTTTATACAAGCAAGTACAATGATAAATGCAATGGGATGTGTCTTAATCACTTATGCAATGTCTAGGTCTATGTGTGATCATGGGCTTAGTCAGTTTAACTGTGATGTATGTTTTATTGATGGCTGCAGTCTGAAAATCATACGCTTTAATTCCGCTGCAAATAGTAGAGACGTCAACACTTCTCTTCACAGCAGAATTAAATATTCAGTCTGTAATAATCAATAAAGATTCACAACAAAGTGTAGTTTTTGCACAAATACGTATATCAGTTAAAAGGAACCTTCTAATTATCAAACGTAGATTTTTTAAAAAAACATGTACATCAACGTAATATTCTTCGAATCAACTCTAATCTGAAGAATTTCCTTTTTTTATGTTCTTTTTATTTTTATTTCTATCCATGTCACGGTAATCCATTCTTTTTTTTCATCTGTATTTTAAGAAAATTTGAAAATTCCATTCATTTGGTTGATCATTAGTTTAAGTGGTTTGTTTTTGTAATAGTATATATAAAATATTATAAAAATTTTTTCTCCTTTTAAAATTTGAAACAAACTTTATTACTTTGTTACGTTGTATTTTTATGAATCTTGTTCAGTTATTTTAGGTTAATCATAAAATAACTGAAACCAATGATGAAGTTAATCGTTTTTCAATTAAAGATCTTCATCAGAAATTGATGTCAAATTCATGTTGGATAATGATAGCTTGTTACTTTATTGATGCCTATTTTAGCTCAAGATCACTCAACAGTAATGGTAATTATACTACATGGTACTTGACTTAAAGCATTCACTTTGATAGCCAGCAAAATAAAACTGAGTAAATAAGTTGGAAACTAACAGCTTTTAAACTATTATTCTATGATGAAAAATATTTTCAGTTTGATTCAATCTTCAACAACCATCGCAATAACTAATTTTGTACTTTTAGTTAAGCTGGTTAAAAACTATTTTATGTCCTTTTAAAGATTAAACTGATGAATTCACTTAGTTCGACAGTTTTCCAACTTAGTTCAAATTTTTTTCATAGATTTTCTATGCACAGTTAATTTCTTTACAAATCGTTTTACCATTTTAACTATGTGCTTTATATTTCCAGCAATAACAATTTATCATTTGTTGTTCTTGTTATGCGTTACATTGGATCATTCTGTTTCATCATATGTTTACTGTATGTTGGTTGCTTAAGTATTGTCATTTAGTCAAAATCATTTTAACCAGAGTAAGATAGTGTGACTGATAGGATGTGAGTTGCCTCCTTTTTAGATCCTATGCAGTTATCACTGTTAGACATTGTTTATTTCTGTTAAGAAATACAGTCGTTTTCTAAGAATTTGTTCACTTTATGAAAGGTAGCTTCCATTTCTAAAAGACAATAATGTGTAGTTGTAAAATGATATTAGTGAAGAGTGTTACAAGTTAGAGAGAGATTGGTTGATCAGTGTTCATTATTTTCTCAAGGTTCTGAAACCGATATTACACTACGCTGAAGATTAGTCTCAAAACAAATAATTTGATATGGTAATACATGTGTATATAAGTGATTCAAACTTTTCCAAACAATTTTTTCCAGCTTAACCCAGTTATATGTGGGGTTTTTTTTAAATCGACAACGAATTATTGAGTATTATTATTGTTATAAGCATTAAATATTTTAAAATGTTTGAGAATCATGTAGATTCAATTCAAAATAGGAAAGAAGTTGAAACTATCTTTTTTTAGTCAGCTGGTATAACTTTCTCACAACTAATTGTTGATAATTTTAGAAAGTACAATGACACGTGTTTTAGTTATCGGAAAATGTATTTATAACTTTTATTATCCTGTTTATTACCACTAACTAATACATAATTTTTTTTTCACATATGGAATAATTAATGGCACATTCATTAACTAAAACTTATGTATATGAGTGGTGAAATAGAAAATACGAGAAATAAAAATAATAAAAGTTTCAAATATGAAATCAATAGAAATGGAATGTATGTTCAATTTTCATGTAAATCTATTTCAATGTTCAATTGTACATGGTCAGTAAAGTGAAGAACTAAAATCTATACCTTTGTATTTGATAAGAAGTAGTTAGAATTTCTTACGTAGTGGTGATTACTGTGTTTATAAATAAAAAAGTTACAAAAAAATATTATAAAATATTCCGCATGTTGTTATTAATTATAATGTTTATTTGATAATTTATTTGCAGGGAAATAAATTCCATCAAACAATTCTTTTGATTATAAATATCTTTAGTGTTCAGTCGAGAATCATAATGAATGTAAGTATTTTAATGAAAAAAAGTTAATTGGTAATTATCTACAAAAACAACAAATGCAAGAGAAGACGATCAGTGTAGCAGCAGCCTCTGCAGCAGTAGGTCTCAACATACATAAAGGAAAAAGCAAAATTCTCCGATACAACACAACATGCACCAACCAAATCACTCTTGATGGAGATGCTTTGGAGGACATTAACACCTTTACATATCTGGGCAGCATCATCGACAATCAAGGTAGATCCGATGCAGATGTGAGGGCACGGATTGGCAAAGCAAGGGCTGCATTTCTACAATTGAAAAATATCTGGAACTCCAAAAGATATCAATCAACACCAAAATCAGGATTTTCAATACAAATGTGAAGACACTTCTACTGTATGGAGCGGAAACTTGGAGAACTACAAAAGCCATCATTCAGAAGATATAAGTATTCATTAACAGTTGTCTACGCAAAATACTTCGGATTCGTTGGCGAAAAGCACCCAACTGCCTCACAAGACAAGCCCTTACATGGAATCCTCAAGGCAAAAGGAAAAGAGGAAGGCCAAGGAACACATTACGCCGAGAAATAGAGAAAGATATGAGAGGAATGAACAAACATTGGACAGAACTGGAGAGGGAAGCCCAGGACAGAGTTGGTTGGAGAAAACTGGTGGGCGGCCTATGCTCCATTGAGGGTAACAGGCGTAAGTAATCTACAAACACATTCATGTTTCGCTTATCATTTGACTATGAACTGTAGCCGATAAACGTTTGCGCCTTACTCGAGTAGTTTAGTTTCTGTCTCCAATTTAAATCAGTCAGTTTTATTTAACACTGAAGTCAGGAATAATTTATTAAAGCACTACAAACTGGTTATTCCAAAGTGACATAGTTAAATTTTTTTTATTAGACAGGAAAATCTAAGGAAATCTTGTTTTATATTTTAAATAGTTTGTTTAGATAATTTTATCAGATGTGAATATACACTCGCTTTGTTGATTTTCATGACTGAAATCAACTGATACGATAATCTAAAACTGTAAACAAGATAAGATATTTCCTTTACTTATCTAATCGACCCTGGTAGAATTGCAATTATATTTAATGTTCAAAATGATATGCACATTGATTGCCCTTAGTATACCTACTTTACTAATGGTCATATTTATTAAAATTTCTTTCTTTCTTATTTTTCTTACAATCATCTTAACAATTTATTGTTCAATCGAAATTTTGTCTGATACATCGAATGTTATTCATGAACTTTTCACTACCTTAAATCAATAAACTAATTCTATTAGTCAGAAGTTAGGCCATTGTTATGTTATCATTTGATATCGAGTGTGCGTTTCGATATCAGGTGTTTGCATACAGTTGAAATGTAACAGATAAGGTGACACAAATCAACTTGACAAAACTAAATAAAAAAATGTCTGTACTCAATAAATAGTACCTATGAAGAAAAAATGAATCAGCTAAATCATTCATCATAGTTTAACATTCACCGAATTTCAGCCACAAGAGATTATGTTGTTCGAATAAACCCTGATTCGATTTTAGGCTCTAAAAAAATTATTTGAAAGGTTATTCATTCA